AGTCTGCATACTTAGGTAAAAGTATGAAATGTCGTACTTTTAGCTTAAGTATTGAAAAGTACCATGTTGTAAAAATTTGTATTATTTGTTGTTATTTTCAGGATTTTACAGAGGTATGTGTATTGAAACATCCAGTAGCTGATGTAGTGGTAGGATCGGTGAAAGGAGACATCATGTCTACTGAGAAGGGAATTAAAGAATGGCACAAGAAGCATGTGAAAACAACCAACGCTATCGCTATAAGAGCACAGCAGGTGCGCGAAAGCGAAAAGGCATTAGGACGAAGATCATATGAAGAAGAAGATTGTTATTTAGGCTGAGATAACCAGTCCAGAAAAACAGGAACAAAACGAGTTTAATTTTAGTGACGAGCAGAAAGCAGATCCTGCCTTTCAAAAGGTAGACTACGTCCTAAAGGTAGACAGACCAGGACATAAAGAGTTGGGAGTAGATTATTTTAACCAGGCAATTGATGAGTCAATTGAAAAAGTTGATGAGAATGGCGAACACGATATGCATCTGCCACATCTGGTACCCTGAAAGTACTGGAAGGATGAGAAAGTATCCTTGGCCAGTCCTGTAGAAAATCGCGGTCAAAACTGTAGAATGCCGGCCACTTTCGACAGTGCTTTGACTGACAGTCCAAGCTAAACGACAGTTTAAAAGAAATTTTTGACATAAAGACATTCATGGAATGCCCTGTTCCCATAACGAAGAAATAAATAAGAGCATTATTGGGTTTAAGAAAGTTTTATTCAAAATTCATCCCACATTAATCAACCATCACAGCTCTATTGTCTTCGTTAGCTAGAATAGGTATGCCAAACAAGATAAGATCGACAGAGCAATAGGCAATAGCATTACGCGACTTACAAAAATCATTCACTTGGATGCCATTTTTACGTTTGCCTGATCTATCTTTACCTTTCGACGTTGCATGTGACGCCTCTGATGTCGGCCTGGGTGGTGTGCAACTAAATGATTTCAAAGGATATCTGCATCCAGTCCTGTATGCCAGCAGGAAACTGACGCCGACACAGACAAGTTACAGTGTCGGGGAATGGGAAGCTTTGGCCATCTGCTACGCTGTCTGCAAGTTTGCCCACTACTTATTTGATTGTCGTTTCACTATGTGGACAGACCATCAAACATTACAAATCGTTAACTCCGAGCAGTTAGGAACAGTAGAATCCTGAGATTGTCATAAGTTTTACAGATTTTTTTTTTTTCATTTGATGTAATGTATATAAGTGGCAAAAATAATTGGCTAGCTGATTACCTCTCAAGGTTGAACACAAGAGAAGTGTCACCTTACAAAGTCACTTATTTCAGTTAGTTGTCAGTTGGGGAGGGGGTAGGGGATGATGTTGCGTGCTTACTCATGTGAGTACATTGATTCCTTCAAATGTCAACAAAAGCACGAATGACTGAGCTGTGAGTAAATTTATTCCTTCAAATGTCAACAAAAGAACGAATGACTCGGCTGTGAGTAAATTGATTCCTTCAGATGTCAACAAAAGCACAGATGACTGGACTGTGAGTACACTAATTCCTTCAGATTTAAACGAAACCACGGATGACTGAGCTGTAAGTACATTGATTCCTTCAGATGTCAACAAAAGAACGAATGATTGGGCTGTGAGTAAAATTGATTCTTTTCGATGTCAACAAAAGCACGAATGACTGAGCTGTAAGTTCATTGATTCCTTCAGATGTCAACAAAAGAACGAATGATTGGGCTGTGAGTAAAATTGATTCCTTCCGATGTCAACAAAAAACGAATGGCTGGGCTGTGAGTAAAATTGATTCCTTCCGATGTCAACAAAAGAACGAATGGCTGGGCTGTGAGTAAAATTGATTCCTTCCGATGTCAACAAAAGAACGAATGATTGGGCTGTGAGTACACTAATTCCCTCAGATTGAAACAAAAGCACAGATGATTGGGCTGTGAGTACATTGATATCTTCAGATGTTATCAAAAGTGCGAATGGCTGGACTATGAGTATGTTGATTCCTTCAGATGTCAACAACAACAAAACAAAACAAAAAACGAATGACTGGGCTGTGAGTACATTGATTCCTTCAGATGTCAACGGAAGAACGAATGACTGGGCTGTGAGTACATTGATTCCTTCAGATGTCAACAACAACAAAACAAAACAAAAAACGAATGACTGGGCTGTGAGTACATTGATTCCTTCAGATGTCAACGGAAGAACGAATGACTGGGCTGTGAGTACATTGATATCTTCATATGTTAAAATAAGCACATATGACTGACCTGTAAGTACATTGATTCCTTCAGATGTCAACAAAAGAACGAATGATTGGGCTGTGAGTAAAACTGATTCCTTCAGATGTCAACAAAAGAACGAATGACTGGGCTGTGAGTACATTGATTTCTTCAGATGTCAACAAAAGAACGAATGATTGGGCTATGAGTAAAATAGATTCCTTCAGATGACAACAAAAGAACTAATGGATGGGCTGTGAGTACATTGATTCCTTCAGATGTTATCAAAAAAACGAATGACTGGGCTGTGAGTAAATTGATTCCTTCAGATGTTATCAAAAGATCGAATGACTGGGCTGTGAGTAAATTGATTCTTTCGGATGTCAACAAAAGAACTAATGGATGAGCTGTGAGTACATTGATTCCTTCGGATGTCAACAAAAGTACGGATGACCATGATATGTTATAAGCAGTCTCTAGAGATCAATATGAGTTGGCCAAACGACATTCGATACACATAAACGTATTTAAGTAACGTAAAGAAATTACTAATTCATTTTGTTAATAAACGAATGACGATATCTTTTAGTTACCGAAACATATCTGATCTCATTTTGTTACAGAAGCATTTGAGGTCCTCATGTTTTTAAAAACGTTTGCAATTCTGAACTTACTTCATAAATTGTTTCATTTTTGGGATCACATTCAGACATCAGTCTGTTGTAACATAGTTTACTATTTTAAACAAATGTCTATTACCATCTTTACTGAAAAATCATAGAAATACTTGCTTATTTTATTTCAGGAATGTCCTGGGGGGGGGGGGGTGGAGGGGGTATTCTTATGTTGTCACAGAAACATTTAACTAGCGCTGCGGCTTTCTGGTTGATGACAACACACGGCTACTGCAGAAAATGTCGCTGTATCAGAGACTGATTTCCTGGCTTGAAAAGTGCGATAATCCATCATGTATTGACAATCTTCACAATCTTTTTGATTTGAAAATCAGTTATAATTCAGACTTAGATGTAGATTATGTTTCTGTATGGAAAAATTTCGGTTATTAACATAAAAAGAAGTGAAATGCATTGCACCTGTTTTCTTTATTTATAGCCTAGTTAGGGAGCCGCAGTAGCACTGTGACAGGCGACTGAATGTAGGCCAGATCGTCTTGGGTTGGAATACCTATTGGGGTGGATTCTCTTGTCACAGATGAGCTTGACTTACAGGTCATCTAAACCTACAATGAGTACCAAGATTTATCCTCTGGAGTAAAGGCAACCGACCTGACGAGGACCTATTGGGAGCTGATGAGGCCATAAGTGCCTTATCAGCCCCCAATATCTCCATAAGTATATCGAAGTAGCACCATATAACGATGCAGCAGTGTCACGAGAAAGGTCAGTTTACTGACTTATTTTCAAATTTACATTCTACAAGAACAGAATAATTAACTTACATTTGAGATCGTTTAAATCCGGTATCAGTAATCAGAGTCCCATGTGTGAATTTGACAGTTGATAACTGTATTTCTCTGTGCAGCCACGTGTATCTGACAATGGGCGGTTTGGCGAGGCTGTGTTAAAAAAAAAATCTCACTGCTGAATGTCCCCGTATCCAGCTGGTCAAGTCAAGTTAGCAGCCGCAGTTTGTCAGGCTGTGCCGGATGATTTCTGACGGAGCTCCATATTTCTCCTTTCTTGATTATGTGGATGAAAGCTACCGACAAAATCATGGCGCTAAACGCGCGTGAGCAAAAGAGAGAGGAGGATGGAAGAGAGGGGTGGGTAGGGAAGTATAGAAAGACAGAGAAAGCGAAAGACAGACGGATGATAGAAATATAAAATCGTAAAGACATGCAGACGACAATGAGATAAAGAGAGAGAGAGAGAGAGAGAGAGAGAGAGAGAGAGAGAGAGAGAGAGAGAGTAGGTTTGGGAGACAGTATATTAGCAAGGGAAAGAGAGAAAGAGAGGCACACATACAGATTGTAGAGAAACATACAGAAACAGAGAAGCACAGGTATAGTGAAAGAAGGGGGAGGAGATACGCAAGGAGACAGATATGCCACAGAGAGACGGTTGCAATGAACAATTAACACTGCGTCCCAATATCAGACCCAGTGTTTGAGTCTCAAATGGTTAGGAATATTAAATGGACCAGTCTTAACATTCTGCCCCTGTGGCCTCACTCCCTGCATACTCCATTTGTTTAACTCTTTTAGTTCCAACAAATGCGCGTTCCGTGTTCAGAGTTTATTAGCTTTCTTTTAGGTTGCTAATGTTTATCTCGACGGTGAGCGGCGTTCCATTTTTATACTATTTCTCGAAAAGATATAATGCTGAAATTGTGCACACACTTGCTTTCTGAATGAGAATGCAATGTAGTGAAAAAAAATGTGATAATGTTTGCTTCTTAGTGGTAATTTTCAATGTCCAAATGTTTACTAAAATGTTTAGGTCAAGGGAAACTATCACTTTTTTAATGGGAAAAACCCTATTCACTTTTTATATACAATTAAGTTGATGTTTACGATATTTTTGTTTTTGTAAATTTTAGCAAATCGAGTATGTTTTTCGTTATTGTCTTACTTGTACTCTGCTATGACATTAAATAAGCTTTTGATTTGCACAAGCACGTGTTGGAATAAATTAATAAATGTGTGCAGTCAATACAGAAATACTTTGAGAATCTTGCTGCAGTCGTTGTCGGTGTCAATAGTTCCTGGCGAGATTGCACTACTAATTTATCGTTCGGAGAAACCCAGATGGCATTAGAGCCAGGGGGTGAGAAGCCCGATGAATTTGAATCTTCAATCAGCCAGGCTTTGTTGGAGTTGGAGATGAACTCAGACTTGAAGGCTTCGCTGTATGAATTACACATTACTGGAGCCAAGGAGATTGATATGCAGGGTAAGAAGGTCATTGCCATATCGGTTCCAGTGCCCCAGCTGAAGGCGTATGGGAAGATTCAGACCCGAATTGTGCGCGAACCTGAAAAGAAGTTTAATGGCAAGCCGGTTGTCTTTATAGCTCAGCGGAGAATCTTGCCCAAGCCGAACAGAAAGAGCAAGAGAAAGAACAAACAGAAAAGACCAAGAAGCCGCACCTTGACTGCTGTTCACGACGATGTTGTGGAAGACTTGTTCTTGCCAGCGGAGGTTGTTGGCAAGCGTATCCGTGTGAAACTGGATGGCTCCAAGGTCATCAAGATCCACCTTGACAAGAGTCAGCAGAACAATGTTGAGCACAAGCTGGATACTTTCACTTCTGTGTACAAGAAGCTAACAGGCAAGGATGTGACATCTGAGTTTCCAGAATGGCTGTTGTAATGCAGAATACATCATAAAAGTTCAACACCCAAAAAAAATAAATTAAGAAAATAAGAAGATATTGACCATTTTCAAGTCAGCCAAAAAATATAGGAGACGATCCTTGAGCGTTCCGCTCACAGGCTACCTGCCCACGACCACTGAAGCCTCACGAGACTCTATTAGAACACCACCTAACTACAAAACCGACTACCCCACACCCGGGTGAGCAAAAACAATGTAGAAATGGACAAAGAGAACATTGCAAACAAGCCACTACAGCGAAAGAGTTTGTCAGATTTCTCGCCACATCTTGTGGGTGACTTTCATACTACAGAAAAGTGACTATTGTGTAAGGTAATACACGACGATCACATGAATTTGTTAGAAACAAGAACAATAACAGTACTTACTCAGCAACCAAAATGACGTCAGATATAAGGATACTTATTATTAAGGCTGTACGGAATAGTTATTTTCACTATTCGTCCGAATACGAATAGCGGGACCAACTATTTAGCCGAATAAGAATACGAAAACGAATAGCGTATCATCATCATCAACAGATGCCTTGCCGACTGGCGTGGGCGATCATGTCTCTCCACAATCTGCGATCTCCTGCAGCATGTATCAGTTCGTGTGCCGACACAACTTCATGCCATGCAACAAGACTGTTAAGAATCTTATCTCGTTGTCTTCCTTTATCTCTTCTTCCACAGATCTTTCCAGTGGTCACCACATGTTCCATTTTCCCTCTTCTCATAACATGGCCGAAAAATGATGACTGTCTGTGATGGTTGTCTTCGGGCTCCCGCCTCTTTCAAAACCTCTTCGTTGCTTTTTTTTTTTCCTTTGTAAAACCACATCTCTGAAGCCTCAAGAAATTGTTTGGCCTGCCTACCGATTGTCCAGGATTCACAGCCTAATGTTAAAACTGGATGTATGTAGCAAGCAAGAATTCTTTTTCTAACTCTCAATGACAAGGATACATTGCACAAGATGTTTTTCATTTTGTAAAATGCAGTTTTTGCCTGTCCTATTCTGTTTATTATCTCAGTTATGCATCTTCCATCTGATGTTATCCATGTGCCCAGATACTTATATGTCTGTACTTGTCCTAAAATAACACCATCGACTTTTATTACACATTTAGGAATAATTCGTTTCTTTGATACCACTATTACTTCTGTCTTCCCATTATTCAAACTGAGGCCCATTCTTTCACTTTCTAACACCACAATGTCTATAATTTCCTGTAGTTCTTTCTGAATTGTTGCTATCAAAACTGTGTCATCAGCGTAACGTAAATTGTTTATATTGTGCCCACCAACCACAATTCCGGGCATACCAATTAGAGGTCTCATTATATATTCACAGACGTATATTGAAAACAAATCAGGTGACAGTACACATCCTTGTCGTACGCCCCTCTTTATGCTTTGAAATGTACCTAAACAGTTGTTAATTCTTATAGCTGCTGTTTGCTGCCAATTCATATTTTTTATTATTCGTAGATCTTTCCCATCAGTGTTTAATTTTTCTAACAGTTTGATTACTTCTTCATGCTTCACACAGTCAAATGCTTTTGTACAGTCTATGAAGCATATGTACAAATCAGTCTTTACTTCTGTGGCTCTTTCTGACAATGTCCTTAGGATGTATAGGGCATTGTTTGTACCTTTTCCTTCTACAAATCCACATTGTTTATGGCTGATTTCTGGTTTAATTTTGTTTCTTATTCTCCTCATAATTATTCTCAGTAAAATCTTAGTCATGTGACTCATAAGACTTATTTTGCGATGGTCTTCACAAATTTAAAGTGCCTGGTTTCTTTGGCAGAGCTATAAATATGAATTTTAAAAGGTCATTTGGAATATACCCACTATTATAAATATCATTAAAAAGTTTTATTATTATTTTAATTCCAAAATCTCCCAGTGCTTCGATTTATTCCAGTGAGATGTAGTCTGGCCTGGGTGCTTTTCCTTTCTTCATATTATGTATTGCATCCTCAACTTCTGCAGTCATTATTGGTGGACCATCATTGTTGGTCTGCAGTACTACATCTGGTCTTTTATCATCCCACAATCCCCTTTATACTCTGTCCATCTGTTAATTATATTACTATGTCCCATTAATAAGTCACAATCTTTTGATTTCAAACATCCAGTGCTGTTACGTGTCATCTTTTCTGTTAACATATTTATCTGTTGGTACATGGAATGTGAGTCTTTCCTGTGATTTTTCCCAATGTCTGTACACATTTGATTCAGCCAGGCTTCTTTAGCCACTTTGCATTTGTTCACTATTTCTTTTTGTATTCTAGAGTATTCTTTTTTATCATTCTTTTTCTTCCTTCTTTCATCCATCAACTGCAGAATTTCGGTTGACATCCATTTCTTTTTTGCGTTTGGAACTCTATAGGTTGGTGGAATTGTCTCTTTTGATGTCTGCTAAACTGACTCACGCAACATATCCCACTGTTCATCAATAGTCTGTATAATTTCCATTGCATTATACCGGTTTTGTACAGTGACGTTGTACTGTTCCTTAATTTCTTTATCCGTTCTAAGAATTCCTAAATTTAACTTGATGTTCTGTGGTATTGTTCTTATGTTCTTTAATTTTATTTTAATTTTTCCTACAACTGGAACATGGTCACTAAAGCAGTCTGCTCCTGGTCTAGTTTTTGCTCCAACTAAGCTGCTCTGGAATCTTCTTGAAATCAAAATATAATCAATCTGATTGCGGACATTAACACCAGGACTTTTCCAAGTCCACAGTCTTCGAGGATGGTGTTTAAACCAGGTGTTACCTATTATCATGCTGCGCGACTCCGCCCATGCTACTAATCTGTCACATTCTTTTCTCCTAGGCCATAGCCACCGTTATTCCGTACACTTTTTCACTTCCTATTTTCGCGTTGAAATCTTCAAGTACCATTGTTACTTCACAATTTTTGCATTGATCAACAGCCATGTCTAACTCGTCATAAATGCGTCAATATCTTCCTCTGAACTATCTGCTGTTGGGGCATAAATCTGTATTAAGTTGATGTCAAACGGTCTGCCGCGAAGTTTTACTAATAGTACTCTGTCTGATATTGTCCAAAATCTTTTCACATTTGTTGAGTTCTTTGGATCCAAAATAATACCAACTCCCTTACTATATTCCTTCCCACCCGAGTAAATAATGATGTGTTGATCTGAATACTTTTCCTCTGCTCCTGGCCATCGCATTTCACTAATTCCTTATATGTTGATGTTCATTCTTTCCATTTCCATCTTGATGTTATCCAGCTTTCCATTTTGTACGAGTGTTCTGACATTCCATGTACCAATGTTCAGGATGTTTCTACCATTTACTTTTTCTACAGTAGCTGAATGACGGTCGGGTATCACCTGTAGAACATGATGCTCCCTACCGGATGAGGTGATTCCACTGGAATCCCCATTCACTTCGTTATCTGAATTCATATTATTTTGAGGCATGATTTACTATGAATAGTACAGCGGTGGTTTATGATAAGATATACCTACAATATAAATTAGATCAAACACACCATTGTTAATATATTATGTTCAACATATCATAGAATAAATTATTGTATATATTTTTAGTGCAATAGTTAATTGTATACAAGGTAAGTAATAGAAAGCTAATATTATGAACAGTTTTTTTTTTTTTTTTATTTGTTTCCGTAACAGCAGCCGATGCTTCTCTTAGTCCGTGACATGTCAGAGCATATTAAAGAAATCAGGCTTCTATCGTGAGTGCTTTCAATGTCTGTAGCCAACTTAAAAGTATATTTTTCATTTAAAGAACAACTTCATCACACATCGGACATAACAATAAGTACTTCGATTTCCTCCTAAGTATGTCTCCAAGTCTTTTTAGGCTTATAACACCATTCTACTGTGGCTGATGTAACGACGGGTGGCTCCCCTATGGTCTTCCTGTTTGGCTGCTCCAATTGGTACACCCAGGGTATGCAGTCTACTAAGGGAAAATTTAATTCCACGAAGATGAATACCTCACAGCTTTTAGTCTGTCGTATGGCATTGATGCTGTCTTTCCTGTCCATAGATAACTCATTCCTGATGGTTGCACTGCCATCTAGGACGTCTGCTCTCTCATTGTCTTTCACATCAGCATGACCGGGAACACAAATAAATAGAGGTAAGACATGTAAAATTAATGCATACATGACGGCGGCTATTACCTACACGGACAATTATCTCCAGACTGAAAGAGTAGATGATAGTATACATCATCAACAACAACCAGGTCTTAGTTTTTACGGCTGAAATTTGCTCTAAGTATACCTTTATTTTGAGGGGACGAGAGAGAAAGAGCGAGATAGAGAGAGAGAGAGAGAGAGAGAGAGAGAGAGAGAGACAGACAGACAGACAGACAGACAGACAGACAGACAGACAGACAGACAGACAGACAGACAGACAGACAGACAGACAGACAGACAGACAGACAGACAGACAGACAGACAGACAGACAGACAGACAGACAGACAGACAGACAGACAGACAGACAGACAGACAGACAGACAGACAGACAGACAGACAGACAGATAGAAGTGGGAGGGGAGGTGGGACTTTCTATAATATTGATTCTTTCAGGCTAATAACAATTACTTTTTTTTCATAAATCGCCATCATCATGTGCGTCTCAAGATGAGTATGACATCAGTTCCTCTGTCAACACCTGTTTCCTCCGTGTTCTTGATCAATTCAGCAGCTAATCGTCTTCGATGCCATCTGACATTTTCACCTTTTATCTTGATCACCATCGATCTTCTCAGTTATCATACCCTTCTCCTTTCCCTTGGGTCTATACATTGTCTCCTTATTTCAGTCCTTTCAAAAATCACTTCATATAAAACTAACGAGATAAAACACAAGACCATTTAGTTCTCAAAGTGCTTGTCGTTAATAATAAATTGTTTGTCAAACAGATGTAACAAGCGTGACGAATAACAGACATCGACGGAGACTGTATACTTGGAG